GACGCTACCGGTACCTTGCCGGGTCCATTATCTATCTACTAGGCGAAAAGGGTTCTTTGTTTCCTTGGTGCTGGTTTTGCTGGCTCTCGTGGGGATTGTGCATGCCAATGATGATACCACCGGTACCACTGTTTCAAGAGTGAGGAGTCATGGCTGGAATCGGTTTCTAATGGAGAGATGCTACTAGATAGATGGACACCGGGACATGAGAATGGCGTGGGAAGCTTACTTCTAACTTTGATTTCCAAACCCAAGAGAGAGAAGAGCGGTTTGAGTTGTCCCATTATTGGACGGAGTTTCCTTCCACATTCAAGTTCAAAGGCTCGGTGGCTCGTCAAATTGTTGATGCCAAAGTGGACTAAACTCATTTATGCCTGCTGTTCGGCGTTTACAAATGTGACAGACCAGCCAACCCCAGCATTTGGCTAAGTAATTATGGTAATTAGATTCGATACGTTAAGGAGGATTCTTTGGAGACTGAAATTGAAAATCAGTCAAGAGGTTGACGTCACTTCATCTCCACTGGTACAAGAGGGTTGAGCTCGACTTCATTCTTCATTGGTTCTTAAGATCGGGCCGACCTCCATTTTATGGTACTGGTACAATGATACTCCGTTTAATACTGCCTTGCCTCTCTACAGTGTAGCTAGATATCTATGCAACTGTGAGGTCTACGGGTTCTAGTACTCGTCACCGGATAGACTGCTGGTCCGTTTGCTCCTTCCAAAGCAACACCAATCCGTGATCGCGCCACCAAAAGTGACCCCCAGAGTCCAGCTCCCAACCCGGCTCCTGAGTGGATCAAAAGCTATTGCAAGACCATCCCTCCGCCGCCCAAACTCTCCAACAAGATCGAAGAGTCTAGACTACGTGAACGGCACGGCCTCAGTATGTCTGTATGCATACCGGTAGAGGCCTGGACCGTTCGCAATGCTTTCTGCCTCGACTTCTTCTTCGAGATTCCAGTCAATACGCTAATTGTGCCGCCCATTCGAACGTTCAATCGGATTGTTTCCACAAATAATGGCAAGAACCAACCTCCCTGCAACTGCTCCCCACTGATACCAACGTTTTTCCCAATTATATTGTAGCGCTTTGCACCATTGCCACTGGCAGGAACGACCATACCACGATGACAGCACCGCTTCCCGTCTGCTCAGCGAAGTTAAGCATCGTCGGGCCAGGTTAGTACTACGGTGGGGGACCACGTTGGAATCCCTGGTGTTGTTCTTTTCTTGCTATTGTCGACGCATTGCAATGTTGCTTTGGATAGCTCCATGCGGAGGTTTGTCGCATCTTTTTGACATGGTTCGTTCGCTTGGGATGTGGGATGAGGGATGTGAGTGGATGGAAGAGAAAAATGAGCTTTATTGGGTTATGAGCCATAGCCTCTACAAATCGGTGCGGTCCCAGTTGGTTGTGGGTGAGTCGCCTTGGACTTTTAACTTCAAGGACCGTGACAATTGCTACTTTCTTATCTTGATCTGTTTTGCTGCCTTGGTGTGATGTCCTTTTTCTCTTTGGGCCAGGTACTTCCCCCATTGCTCAGTCGAGGGTAATAGTTCAAGGGGGGCTCGTAGGCTCGGTGCAGTTGTAATTACTAGTATATGTCATCCAGCCATCAAGGAACCTACCGGTATGCTTGCCGGACATGTCCTTGGCAAGAGATGAAAACTCGGGCTTCGTCCGTCCCGGCACCGGCGAAAGGATCCCATCTGTAGTTGCAACGCAAGATACCTCCCCGTTGACGGCATGGCAAATGGTATTGTCATCACCGTCACATGGGTTATGCGAGCTGTCGACATTGATGCGTCCTCGTCTCATGGCAAGCAACGGAAACAAAGAGACGCACTTCCTCAGTCAATAGAAGACAAAAAAATAAATACTAAATAGAGACGGTCAATCAATAGAATGATGCGGAAAGAGAATGGGGGGGGGGGGGGTGAGAGCAAATGGATGGTTTATGTACCGTACCGTACCGTACCGTACCGTACGGTACGACATTGGGAAGAAGAAAGAGGGCCGTTGGAATGTTTGTAAACCGGTACCAGTACCGGTACGACAAATGGAGTACCGCTTGAAGTTAATCTCCATGCGTACATGGGACATGGACAATGTTCAAGATCCCGTCATCATGTTTTCTTGCTTCTTCATTTAAATTTTTAGAAATTATTCCACATCAACAACAACCAAATCCACAGCCCAGTCCACCCAAAGAAGCTCTTTTAGCAAAAGGAGAAACCGAAACTACTCCATCCGTGAGCAACAGATATGGTAGCCATCATGGTGAAGGAAACAACCGGACTCTCTCGGTGGAAGGAACAACTCTTTACCAAGGATGATCCCTTGCACCTCCACAAGACGCTCGGATTCGCCTGTTTGCTCTCCTACGCCTTTCGTTTTGCGCGGGCGGGCGCCGAACAAGACATGGGCTTTGCCACCCACCCAGAGTGGACGATTCCCACCATTCTCTTGCATTTGTCGCTCAATTTGAGCAGCTTGGAGTTCAAGATTCCCACCCAACGCATCACGACCGACGGCGGACGCATCTGGCCGCAGTATCGTCTCCATTCGCTCGTCTTTTTGTCTCGCTCGCTCGCGTGTCTGGTGGCGAATCACTGGCGTCGACAACAAACTGATAGTGACAAATCCATTCTTCACTTGTGGATTGTCCTTGGTACCATGGCGGCCGGTGACTGGGCTTCGAACTCGGTCGGCAAGCATCGTTCCAACTCGATTCGAGATTTGAAGGGACCCGTGTTGGTCAAGTACTACTTTTCGCTCACGCAGTTTCTGGCCACAGCCATGACGCTCGTGTTGGGCTGGAAACCACGCAGTTCGGTCCATTTCTACTTTTGTTTTGTCATTCAATTGACCGCCTTTCTCATGACGCTCCGCCGCAAGCATCTCGTGTCGCACGGCATCAACATTGTCTTGTACGCCCTTTTGCTCGGTGTTGGCATTGCGGTCGCGATGAACGAATGCCGCATTCTCTATCCGGACTCCCTCTTGACCTTTCTCGAGATTGTCGCCTTGGTGGGCTTCACCGCGGCACTCTGGCGCATGGGACCGTGGCCCAACATTGTGCGACCCATCATCAACAACAAGTACATGATTTGGACGGCCGTGTACTTTTTTTCGGGAAACTACTTGCGACCCGTACTGGATGCTGCGGATGGAGACGCGGAAGCGTTTTTCTTGACCAAATCTCAAGTGAAAGGCTTGGCGTGGGGAGAAGTTGGAGTAGTGATTCTCTTTGGCGTGTACAAGTACTTTGGGTCCGAGATTCAGATTTCGGCAACCCTGTCAACAAAAGACTAGGTGTAGCGGACAAGGCAGAGGCCGTCGTGACCGACATGCAATCAGCCTTTGACTGGATCCCTAAGGTAACTGGAGACATGACCTCCTCCAAGCCAAGAGTCGCCTTTCTGGAATGGCATGATCCTCTCTTTGCAGGCGGACACTGGATTCCTGACATGCTCGAGATTGCTGGATGTTCGTATGAAATGGGAAGCTCGAGTGATCGCTCCAAAGCGATGAAAGATGAAGAATTGGGTCAGCTCGATCCTGATGTTATCTTGATCGGACCCTGTGGGTTCTCGCTCGACCGAGCTTTCAATGATACCCTCGATCTCTACGAAAAGAAGGCTTGGTTCAAAGAGATGCGGGCCGTGAAAGAAGGACGAGCGTTTGCCTTGGATGGGAACAGCTATTACGCAAGACCAGGTCCACGGTTGCTACAGGGATGCGGCATCATGGCTGCGTGCATTCATGGAGATCAAGTTGCTGAAATACTCGGAGAGGAATTGGCCCCATCAGGGGGTATCGTCGGATAACTATGGATGCACGCCAGAGCAACGGGGTCCACTGTTGCAAACTCTAGCTTATTCTCTTGTGGGGGGCTACGTCAGTCTAAGTAGCAATGCAAGTTGAGCAAAGAAGCGGTAGTCTTCTAGAGTTAAAGGTGTTGGTTTAGGATGATGTATGAGATTAGCACAGTGGATGATGACCTTTCTATGTTGTTGCACAAGCACGTTACTTGTTGAAAAGCGTCTTGGGCTTGGAACTTGCTTCGTGCAACTTTACCAAAACCTCTTTGACTTCTGCTATGTCAGGACGAGCGATCGACAACCGACTCAGTCCATCCCTTACGCAAGACAAGACGCAAGTTGGTAGGCCATGTTCGTGGGATAAGACAGACACACATTCCTTGACCTGTTGACCAACCAAGCCTTCGTAGGGCTTGCAGAGGGCCATGAGTTCCCACAATAATATTGAGAACGAGAAGACGTCCGCTTTGACATTGTAGGGATGCTTGCGGATAACTTCGACTGCGGGTTTAGTGCACTGATTGCTGACATTTGTTCCTTTCTCTGATGTGATGACTCGACTCTGATGACTCATTTCGCGGCAGCAATGTTGCAGATGCCATGCCAATACATTTTGGAGGGATCGGAGGTTGGTTTGGTGGACAAAAATTGTTTGGTTCCCAGCCCCGCGAAGCGTGGAAAGTGAACGTGGAAGGCCCAACAGAATCTGGAACACTCCGACCAAGGGCTTGAGCCTTCGGCCTTGCAGATCTCCCTGCAGCTATCCGAGAAAAAATCACATAACTTTCACATAATCTCTTCCAAGGCTCCGTTATACTAAACCACCATGACAACAACAACCGCGTTTACATGTATTCCTTCATGGCACAAGAGACAAAGTTCCATGCTGCTGCCATGTAGCTTCCAACTGGTGGCAATGCTGCTAGTTCTGCTGGGCGACAATGTACATTCGCTGCGTGGTTCCTCGTCGCTGCTGTCGTCTCCAACACCGTCACCTCCAGATGACTACTACGACACATGGGAACCTCGCTGTTTCCAAACGACGCAAGAACTGCGGGATGCTGTGAACTCCTATCAAGGCCAGGACCATCTCAATGTGACACTTGGCGAACAATACGGTTGGCCCATTGGTCAATGGTGTGTGTCCAACATTCATGACTTTTCCAATCTCTTTCAAAACTATCATCATCAACCACATCATCAGCACTTTAACGAACCCCTTGACCACTGGGACATGTCCTTGGCAAGAGATGTGTCCGGAATGTTTCAAAATTGTCACGAGTTCAATCAACCCCTCGATCACTGGGATTTGTCGGAAGTCACCTCCATGGCGCGCATGTTTGCTTCCGCCAAGAGCTTTCGACAAGATATTGACATGTGGGATACCTCCCAAGTACGAGACATGAGTTACATGTTCCTCCACGCTCATGCCTTTTCCGGCAAGAATCTGGATGCCTGGGATTTGCGCAGTTTGGTCACGACCGAGGGGATGTTTCGCGATGCGCGATCCATCGATCCCACCAAGCTACATTGGGATATCTCCAGCATTCCCAATACACATCGCATGTTTTCCGAAACACCATCGGTCAGTTTGGCGGCGGCCAATATGATGCGTCAAAACATTACAGAACCACCCGCGCAATCTATGGTGCGAAAACGACCCAATCACGCCGGGCTGCGGATATCCTCAGTAGTAGAACCCATCTCCTCATCTGAGCTGCATCCCTGATCACACAAGCAGCTCTTGTGGCAACTTGTTTACCACTCCTGAAACCCTTTGTCATGCGCAAAACGCTTTTGCACAGACTTTAGTATGCATCATTTTTGTAACGACTGCACTTTCTAGTAAAGGTCTGCTGTTGACGCCTGCCTGATACTAGCCTAGAGCGAAGAGACTGTGGGGAGAGAAAGTCAGTTGAGTTCATCGCCCAATTCCCGGAAACAGATAGGAAGCATCTCCTCATCAGAACGGGCTGTCAACGACTTTGTTCAGCTGCTGAAACCAATTGGAGTTGCCAATTGCAAGCCCCACACTTCACGCCAACTATGCATGAATTTTGATTTCTATCATGTATTGGTGAGAGGCGATGCTATGGCCGTTCACATGCCAGAAGATACTGCTTGAATCGTTGAAACATATAATAGGCATCCACTATAATGTATTATACAAATCCATGCACTATCAGCTGTCGGTGCGATTCGGGGTGAAGCAGTGCCAAACCTTCCACGCCGTACTGTTCTGCCTGATAGTTATACCATACGGTAGCTTGGTGCAATGAAGAGAAAATCCAATTAGTACTCCTCTTCTTCGGCTTCTTCAATTGTCACTTCCACCTTGATAAACGGATTTCTCCAGTCATATTGAGCAGGGTTCAAGTCCGTTGCGTTTCGTTCCTTGTCTGGGTAGACACCTTGGATCCCTGGGTGGATGTAGATCTGAAAAGAAACAGAAGGAGCAATGTGAGACAAGAAAAGAAGAGAACAACAGCACAAGAACGAACTGAAGAAACCTACAGCTCCTTCGCCGTCTTCTGGTGTTCGTTCATTTCCAGATTCGGGGTTGCAGGCAGGCCCTGGGATAAACTCGCAGGACTCGTTGTTGAGCTCGGTCCCCGCATCATACGCCGACACGTAGATGGTCATATCACCAGCTTCCAGCCCTGCAACACCGACGAACGCGTCGTTGGTGTTGGTAGCCATGGAAGCGAACGAAATGAGGGGAAATTCCTCAGTGAGCTCAACTTCAAATTCCAAGACTTCTCCGAGTCCTTGGAGTTCATCAAGGGCTTCAATGGAAAGAGAGTCCTCCTTGACACCATAGGGGCACACCTCAACGTATCGCCTGACCAGCTCTTCGGCCTCTCCAGTTTCTGCAAGGACACCCAAAGATTCTGTGGCTCGTTTTCCAAGTTCAAAAAGTGGTGCAGCTTCAGCATTGTGAGCCATGACATAGAACTCGCTGAGAGGTTGCCCATTAGCAAGATTGGTAATCTTGATGGTTGCTTTCTTTCCCTCGCGTGGTGGGGGCACCACTTCACTCCTACTACCACCGTCGTTCATTCCCATCCTGTTTCTACCAGCGCCACCTCTGCGTCCTCCTCCGCCGCCGTTGCCTCCGCCTCCTCCGTTGTTTCCTCTGTTTCCTCCGCTGTTTCCTCCATTGTTGTTTCCTCTGTGTCTTGTATTGACACGTTGTTGGTTCCTCAAACCACGGGTTTTGGAGGTTTCTTCCTCATTCACTCCATCAAAGACATCAATGGCTCCACCGGGCTTGAGTGCCAGAACTCCTGGGAGCAGCAGGAAACCTGCCAAAAAACAAGAGAGGGATCGAATCATCATGGTTAAACTTGTTGTTTGCAGGTGGAGTTTTCGAGGAAATATTGTGTGTTCTCGAAGACCCTTCTGAGGCACTGATTTGGGTATGGACAAAATTTGGCAGGCAGCAAACGTTGGGAGTTGGGCCGAATTTTCGATTTGTGGCACGTGAGGCCCCAAAGCCAGCCAGTCTTGTTGGAAGAGCGTTCTGTGCCAAAATTGTTATTGCTGTAGCCGTTCGGCGGGTTGGTACTGTTACGTCACATAGCAATCTCATCCATGGATACTGCATCAGTGAAAGATTTTAGTCCAAACAATAACCAAGAGAACAATGCTTCTTTGAGGTCGTTGGAGCAAGAATCTTTTGCTATTGTGCATTTAGTTAGAACGAGGGTGATGGTATCAGCTATAGTGGTCTTTACGGTTGATTTCCTGTCAACAGTCTACTGCTACTAGTAGCTCCCAGAAGTTTGAATGCCCATCTACTGCTTCCTGCTTGCTACAAAATCCAAGAAGTTTACCTTTCACAGAGCGCCTGTCACTCAGTCCTTCTTTCCAAATTCGGCTACAATTCTTCATCGCGATCCACCAGCCCGGGCGTGAATTCGTGTTTCCGCATCCCTCCATCGATCCAGTATCCGTCTTCGGACCCAATGCTCCATTTGACTGTGTTTTGTGAATTGCACCATTCATTGGGACAGTTGTGTTCCTTGAAACTGGTTCCTAGGATATCCAGCGGTTCCTGTGTCTTGTCCTGGGGAGGGACCTCCGTGTCCCACCAAGGGGGGATGGCATAATGACACTCCATGTTGTGGTCGGTATCCATCCATCCATTGGTGGGATAATAATGAACAAATACGGATGTATACCAGCTTCCGTAGTATTTTGACGGCCGTCCATGTAGGCATTTGGAGCTCTCATAAAAGAGAATGTCTGGTATATATTGTGGATTTCATTTTCATTTTTCAGTCGGAGAAGGGGGAGATGAATAATCCCAACATCATGAGCACGTATGTATGAGTGAGCTTTTCTCAAATTTCCACAACTTTGTCCCAAATTTCATCGATCGATCATTCGCACGTGCTCACCTCCAGGTTGCAGCTCAATCTCGTGGGTATTGCCCTTAAAGTCCTGAATATATATAGGAATAGATTGTCAAGTAAAAAAAAAGTCACTTGTTTGAGACCATGCAGATTGTTTTAACTTTTTTTGTCGACCCTTCTATCGTACCTCGATAAGAACCGGCCACGGCTGTGAATCCTCTGATCGGTCAATGTGATAGATCATGGATATAATGTGGGTTTGAGCTTTATCTGATGGTATCATTGTGTGGGATGCAACATGGGCATGAATGGATGAATAAGAACCAAACCAAACCCAAAAAGGAACGAATCAAATTTCTCTGAAAGACCTTCCAGTTTACATGTACTTACCTACATGCATGTTTAGATCACTTTCGTTAAGATACAGCCGGAATCCATAGGCAAGCACTGGGTGCAACGGCATACCCACCCACGCCTCTGTGTACGGCTGAAGCTCTGTTACGACCTGTCATTCCAATAATTGATCAAAGAGTTTGAGAGATATAAAAGTGAGCTCCACCATTTTGAAGGCATCCTCCGATATTATAATCAAAAAGAAACATCAGTATTTGAAAACAACTCACTCGTTGTGTTAGATCCGGCCGATCGACAAAATCACATCCATTGGGACCTCCAATGGCATCAATGGAATGTTCTTTCCGCGTCTTGCCTTCTTTAACGGCCGTTCGAATCTCGTGCTGCAACGTTAGGGTCAAATCCTCGGGTGCCCGCACCAACCCCATTCCATATTCGGTAAAATTGGGTGCCAAAAAGGCCATGTTGACCGTCTGCATCCAACCATCGTATTTCTTGTGACGGTTGTCCATTTCCAGTACTTGCTTGAATCGCTTATCCATTTGTCTCTTCCAGCCAGGAGTGTTGGGAATGTACTCCGGAGGCCAGTCTCCACCATAGCGCTTCAAATGTTCTTCGACTCGATGCGTCTCAGTCATACCGTGCACTGCCGCCAGCAGTAGTCCCAAAAAGACTAGTGCCAATTTACTATACATGGAGTCGACCATCATTGTCTTCAATATAGATAATTCTTTTGATAGATACCCCTACGGTACTACTAGCTGCTACTACCAGTAACTGGGAGGTATCAGTGGATTGTTGATATGATCCTGAAGCAACAAAGTTTGTTTTGCCTCTTCATGCACGCCAAAAGACTTCGTGCGGCAACACAGTCGTTTTATGCGAACCCCAGGAAGAAGGGTATACTGGTAGTCCAGGTATATATATGGGTTAAAGTTTACCGCATCTACCTCAAATACAATCTGGGGTCACCTTGAATGTTTTCATTCATTGACCGCCTGGCTCTGGCTCCCAGCGGAGCAACAATGGCATTGACAACCACTTATTAATAGCCCCCCTCGCCCCTCGCTCCTTACTGTAACGTATCTATTTAGTATTTGTTTTCTACCTTTTCCCTCCACAAAATCAGGCTAACCTGCTGACCTCGCTAAAACACGTCGCAAACTTCTCCTGCATTGAATTGCAGGGCTCTGCTTGGATATCATTCTCTTCTCCGATAGCTAAAGCATTCATAGTTACTTCAGTAGTCCTATTCTCCTACATCTATCTAGCTTTGACTGATTGAATTCACGTTCGCAGCTTTCAAGTCAATCATTTGCAAGGCTGAGATTCACCGGCGTTTTCCTGAGGTTCAATTCTTGGAGATGATTGGCTTGAATGCTGCAAACATGTATGTAAAAATACAGCTAGTTCGTTGGCTGGCTCCCATCTATCAGCGGCATAATAATATGTCAGCCAGATTTGGAGGAAATCCTGCCAAGTCTTGTCCTTTCTGAGTCCATCCTAGGCAGCGTCCTCATAGACACGAACAGTGCGGGTTCCTCTTTGAAGTGGTTTGTCAAAGAGGAAATGGCACTGTTCCTGTCCATGAGAACAATGCCAATGGATGATAGACCCACGCAGAAAGGACAAGACTTGACAGCTTTTCGTGCATTTGGCTTCTAATAAACGTACGGTACTGTTACTCTGTGGGCATTACCGAGATGGGGACAACAACAGTGGTACACATGTCAAAGAGGAACTGGCATTGTTCGTGTTCGTGTCTACGAAGAGAACACTGCCCTCTCTTGATATTGCAACTGTACCTAAGTAAATGCAAGAAAATGTGTCTTTTCTTGGCTTTGGTACAGTTGCAACACCAAGAGACGGCAGCATTGTTGCTTTCAGTACCCCCATCTTCCCTGATTTTGTTGATGTGTTCCAATACGACAGACAAAAGCGCAGAGAGGTGGTCGCAAAGAGCCAGCACAATTGAAAGTGTTGGGGTCCATGCCCAATACCCTCAATTGTACTGCCTCTTTGCAACCACTCTCTGTCAGCAGTTGGCTCCTCTTTTTTATTCACTGTCAACAACATTGGGCTTGCAACAACCTACCGTACTCCTCGAACGGCACTGACTGGGCGCTTCTGCACACCTTGGCAATAATTTGGTCGCCACTCTGTGTGGACTGTACAGATGCATCATTGGGGACATGTATATCACTCTCTGGCTGGAGAGGGCAACCGGTTGGAATACGCCTATCTGGGTCTTCTGATTATGACTCCGCAAGGTTCGGTAATGTCGCTTGTACAACACCTTGGGGGCACAATTCGCGGCAGTTTCACACAATGTAGCACTGATGCAATGTTTGGGTCCTCTATCTTTGACGAATTTGGCTATCTTAAGTGGCTCTAAAATAGACTCCCTACCCTAAAACCAACCCCCTTGCAAATAAAAAGTATGATGGAAGCATCGTTGCAGTTAGATACCCCTACTACTACACGTGGCTAGCTACATGTAGGTTTGGAAGTGGGTTGTTGATGCAGATAACAGGATCCTGAAGCAACGAAGGAGGGATGATGTGCCGCTCCAAGCTGGATTGCGTTTATCCTCTCGTAAATAGCTCTATGGTAGCATTACTGTAGGCCAGACAGCAGGTTTGTAACAATGGGACAGAGTACGGTAGACTTTGATGCACGGGGAACAGCAGGTTTGTACCAATGGGACAGAGTACGGTAGACTTTGATTCACGGTGCACGGGGAACAGCAGGTTGTACCAATGGGACAGAGTACGGTAGACTTTGATTCACGGTGCACGGGGAAGGGGGAAGTACCGGTAAGGACGGCTGCAATCAGACCATGAAATCCACCATCCAAATAGGAGGTCTTGTTGTACCGTACCGGTACACATGTTAGACTTTGATGCACGATGTATGGGGTAGGGAAGTACCGGTGCCATCAGAGACCATGAAATCCACCATCCAAATTCACGACTGGGCAAGAATTGCAGGGCCAGGTACTGTTACCGGTTTTGCTTTGGATAGAAGGCAAGTCACCGAGTACATGTTAGATGATCAACTCAGTCACCATTACCGTACTCGCGTACTCCGATGGTAGGTAGACATGTACGGTATGCATAGTACTGAGTACAGTAATGTTTTTGGTGATACCAGGTTTAAAGGTACGGTCTGCAGTTGAATTCGATGCCACGATTTAAAGGACAGTTTCCTTACTGGATTTAAAGGGCTACTTTGGACTAGAGGGAAAAACAGAGACTTTTTGAAATGGTACCCATGCTTCTAAATCTTTCCTAAGCTGAATCGTCCTTTAAATCGTCCATTACAACGGACGATTTAACAAATAAACATGATTTAGAGGACGATTGAAGAGTCTTGGTGCACTTATTTCTCGGCACTTTCTGTGCACTTTTAAAGCTCCACTTTCATCAGCTCGCTTTCGATTTTCCCACTTTCCATGGTGCTTGTGCTCTGCTCTCTGCTACGGTGTAGTAGTACATGTATGTGAGCTTGTACGGGAGTATTTTTAATAGGACGACATCGGTTTGGGTGTGAATACCAAATCTCCTCCCCAAATCATTATTACGGAAGCTATTACGGATCATCCCCATTCCCGGTGAGCTGACAGTTCGAAGCTCACATTCAGCGGTTGGATCCATTACTATTATAGTACATGACTTATACCCATTGCAAACTTATACCCATTGCAACCACTAACAAGCCAAGCCATGGCGCCCCAAACGAAAGACTTGGAACGTAGTGATTTTGCCAAGGCCAACTTGGGGAGAGTCACATCCATCTACAAATCCCACCCGGCAGCTTTGACCAAACAGCTGTTCAACCATGTTCTCAAACACGGTGCTGCACCGGGAGTGGTTGCTTTTCTGGCTACCAAAAGGCCCGACTTTGTGGATGCAAGCACACTTGCATTTGCAGTAATGCAGGGACCAGGTGCCAATCGACCCACTGATGATGACATTATCACACTGGCCCAAATCAATCCGGAGGCACTGGCGCCAAAAGCTCCAGACTATCAAATGCCACCTTGTGTCGGCTTGGTCCTGAACTGGCGATACAGTCCACAGCTGATCCAGCGTCTCTTTCAAATTGTGTGGCGCAAGACGAAAGTATTCACGATACCAATGAGTACAATCGTTGATTTGACCACAGTCTTTCCATCCGTTGTTGGCTTGGAGAACTTGATCAGAAAGCGGACGGCCTTGGATTTGGCGACTGTCTTGGGCATGGCACCGGTGTGGACAGCGAGATTACCGAAAATGTTTCTAGCTGGCTGTGATGAATGTGGAATTGGTGCGTTTTACTTTTGTGAACAGAGTTCTTTCTAACCAAAGTGTTGAGGTTCTGAAACTGAGGTTCCCAGGACTCTGGCGAGGCTGCCAACAGGGGGGATCAAGCTGTTTCAACGAAGATGCAGTGAAGCTGGCAATGTCAAAATCCAGAATCCGTCTGGTGCATGTTGACCTTTGTCCAAGTAATCGAATGGCGGTTGACTTCCTGGACCAATGCCTCGGTTACATGCCCAACCTGAAGGAACTGCACTTGATGCTACGTGACGACGACACCACCGCTGGTGCTGCCATTCCCACCATCTGTCGTCACCTCACCGGCAATTCTATGTTGAAGATTTTGAGGATTCACGCAAGAAGTGACATGGCTTCCGCAGTACTGGATCCGATTCTCAAGGCATTGGAGAGCAATCACAATCTCATACAATTTGACTACTTTCAAGATGCTATCCGGCCAGACAAATTCAAAAGATTCCAGGTTGCCTTGGTGGACATTCTCCGAAGATCCAACTCGACGCTGGGTTTTGCCAGCTTTAGTGATGGTTGCACTGACAAGAAGCCATTGGGAAATCTCTGCAGCCATAGTCTTCCAAGCGAACACTTGCTGCCTTTTTGTGTTGCCCTCAATTGGGGATTCTCTTCTTTC